TGTTAGCATGATTTCAACACTAGTTTCAGCTAATAAAAATATTTATATTTAATTAATTTTTATTTCAAGAAGTTGACTACAATTAATATGGATTTATTAAGGGAGAAGCACTCTTGTCCTTATTAAAAATTATGGGGGACACATGTGTGTGGCATTGCGCATTAATTTTGCATCTCGGACCTCACCACAATTAGTATCATGATGCAAGCTAGAAACACAACAAACCACACCAGAATTATCATAAAGCATACCAGAAAGTTTATAAAGTATAGCAAAATCTCACCACACCACAAAAATCATAAAGCATACCCGAAACTTCAAATCATACCACAAGCTAAAGTATAACAGAAACCTCATAAAGTATACCACAAGTTCCGTGAACCACACCCCAAGTTTATGAAAGCATACCACAAGTTTCCAAAAGTATACCAGAAACCTCGTAAAGAAGACCACAACTTTATGAAAGCAAACCTCAAGTTTCTTAAAACAAAGCATAAGTTTGTCAAAACATATCACAAGTTTATTAAAAACACACTACAAATTCCATGAAGCATATTAGAAACCTCATAAAACATAATACATGTTTATTAAAGTAGATCACAAGTTTATTAAAGTAGGCCACAAGTTTCTTAAAGCAAAAGACAAGTTCTGTTAAGAATATTTTTTTAATATTTTGTGCTTGCAGTTAGTTTAATTTTTCAAATAATAAAAGATTTGAACAAAAGCTACCAGTTAAAAGATTTTTCAAATTATAAAAGATTTTTCGTGCTTTGACTATGAGAAATGGTTTGAACAAAAGCTACCAGTTAATCACGACTCTCCGTCTGACGGTGAGAGGCTGCAATTATTTCAATGATTCTTAAATAGAAAATTTGGAGAATTTATCAAGTAAAGAGATGAAAGAGTTTCTTAATTACTGCTACGGAGAAACTAAGCAAGACCACTGCTCAATGAGGGCTCTTAGACCACCCACTATGGGGGGTGGGAAAAAGGAAAAGAAGATTCTTTTGCAAAGGGGGCTCACAGTGGGTAGGGATAACAATGGATCGGGTTGGGTCAAGTTTTTCCAAACCCGAACCCATGGGTTTATTCGTGAAAAAAATTTGAGGTAAACCCCACTGTGTTTGAAAAACTCAAACCCAACCCGCTGAGTATCCGCGGGTTCATGGGTACCCACGGAGATTTGTCGTAAAAAATTTACAATAACAAGTTCCTATCAAATTAAAGTCAAATATCAATCTCTCAATACAAATTATCCATATATAAACACCATTCTAGAAAATTCAAGCAAATCATAAATTAACTATACAAATTCTTCAACACCAATCTAGAAAACTTAAGAAAATTGAAGCAAATCACAAATTATCCATAAATAACATGATTAATTGAAAGCTTCTTCCTCCTTTTCAATTAAGTTTTTTTCACTCTCCACTCAATAACATCAACTTCATTCTCCACAAACATAAATAAGATTAGTTGTTTAGAATATAAAATATATCGAGAAAATTAATTATATGGGTGTGGGCGGGTACCCATGGGGCGGGTTTACCTAAACCCAAACCCAACCCGATGAATAGTGAACAGGTTTAAACCCAAACCCGGCCCAAAACCCACCAAATGATTTTACCCGCATTGACCGGGTTGGGTCGGGTGAGTACGCGTGGGTTCGGATTTTATTGCCATCCCTAACAGTGGGGGTTGAAAAATAGGGAAAAAGGATTTTTTTGGTTGGTTTTGGGTGGTTTTTCCCCGACAATTAAACAAAATGAGGGGGAAGGAGGAGGGTGAGTGGCGGGAGACTACGTACCAGAGTAGCTTTTTACTTTTAGTTTAGGTTTTTTTATTTAACTGTAGATCATTTTCAATGCGATCTAGCGATCAGAATTAAATTCCAACAGACATATTTTACAATGATTATATTTTTCAACAACCATAATCGGTCATATTTAATTAATGACGAAAAAATTATCTCCAAATTAAAAAAACATTATATCACAATGTTCATCTTAATTAATTATTATTACCTATATAAAAGAACAATCAAATTATTTAACTAAAGTGACAAAATCAATACTAAATGAGATTCGTCAAAAAACACCTCTCCCACTTTTTCCTCTCAACCCATTGTGGGGTTTCCCACCCAAACAATCCAAATTCCACCTCACACTCACCCACCCAAATTTCCCACCCAACCATAGTGGGCGATCTTATGAAATTGTATCTCATATATAAACAACACCAAAAAATTGTTATCACCCAGCCACTTGCTAATGAGTATTTCGATTAAGGTCTCTTGAATCCATCTCCTTAATACGAATCTTAGGAAATTTGTTTTAGAGAGAGTGATAAATAGAATATGGTATGAAGAGGAGAGAATTTGGGGGAAAGAGGAAGAAAAGACTTGTCAGCTCAAGGAAAGGGAGATGTCGATTATAGGTGTCAAAATAGAACTCGATTCGACGAATTCGCGAGATTAATCCGACCCGTAATCCGGTCACAACCCGAATTGACTAAAAGTCAACAATTTGCAACCCGTCCGACCCGAAACCCGATTGACCCATGATCTGATTAACCCGTAACCAGAATAACCGCATCCCGATTAACCCAAATCCAATTGATACGCAATCATATTAAACCTGTAACCCAATTGACCCGAACCCGATTGTCCGAACACGACTAACCCGTAATCCGCCCGATTGGCCTGAATAATTACTATATTATATATTATATAAAAATTTCAAAATGAAGTTTTTTTTTTGTAAGACAAAGTAACACAATTTTTTCCATTTTATAAATGAAGTTCAAAAAATGATATTGAGTTGAAATTATGTATTTTAATAAAAGAAAGAAGAGAAAGAAATATGGAGCAGTTTTGATGCTTTGGTTTATAGGAAGAGAAAGAAGTGGGAATTTTGGTGTTGTCAACTTTTTGAGGAGAAAAAAATGGGAAATTTGGTGTTTAAATTTTTTTTGGGTTAAATAACTTTTTTTATTAAAAAGGATTAGATTACCCAATGAATCTATCCACTACCATGTCTAGTATTAAGGAATGATGAGTAGCATTGGGGCATACACCACCTCAACAATGGCTCTGCTGAGTTATTTTATAGTACCGACTTAAAAATGATCCTCCACCCTTTTGGATCTTTGCTTCTCTTTGATTATGATAAAGTTGGGTTAAAGACACATTTGGTCACTGAGATTACAAAATCGGGACATGTTTAGTCACTAGAAAAAGTTAATATCAAATTTGGTCACTACAATTACTAAAACAAGACACATTTAGTCACTCGCCGTTAGTCTCCGTCCAACTCCGTTAATGAAGTCCGTTAAGTGCAGATGTGGCAAACAGAATTGCCTAATCAGCCGAATATAACCCAACAAAAATAAAACCCGACCCGCCACGTCATTATAACCAACCCAACCCATGACCCAACCCAACCCCACCCAACCCTTCTTCCTCTCTAGCTCGCCGCCGCTCTGATTTCCCCTGTTCAGCTCGGCGGCAAGCTTCTTCCTCCACCATCCTCCTCCTCATTCGCTCGCACTCCTGCTCGAGCTCCTCCTCTCGAGCCCGGAGGCGGGCCTCTTGCTGCTGTTGCCGAAGGTAATCGTCCACTTCTTTCCCATTCACCCAACACCGACTCCGCTCTGATTTCCCCTGTTCATCTCTGCGGCGGCGGGCGTTTTGCTGCTGCTTATCCACTTCTTTCCCCTCGATCCAACTTCTTCTCCGCTCCGATTCTACCTGTTCAGCTCGGCGGCGGCGAGCTTCTTCTTCCTCTTCTTTCTCCATTATCCTCCTCCTCATCCGCTCGCACTCTTGCTCGATCTCCTCCTCTCGAGCCCGGCGCCGGGCCTCTTCCTGCTGCTTCTGATTCATCCTGGCCCGAATTTGATTGTCGTACATCTCGCGGGACCTGCCGTCTTTCAGGATCCCGTACGAGAATTGAAGCTTCTGGAAGCTCTGTTTCGCGTGCAGATCGTCGGGGTTCTTGTCGGGATGCAATTGTAGGGGCTTCTGTTTGAACGCTCTGGAGATTTCCGTCTCGGTGGTGGTTGGAGGAGCCGCCGCCGCCGCGGCGGGAGGTTTGGCTGGATAGACTCTGTCGGCCATGGGGATTTAGATTGGGGGAGAGGGATTTGATTTGTCTGGGGAAGTGTTTGGGCTCTGAGAAAAGGGGAAGAAAGTGAAGGGAAATTTTTTTGGAGTGTGGTGGTTTTTGCTTAGGTCCAAAGGGAAGAGATTAAAAAGTGGAGCGGAAAATTTATTAAGCAAGGGATGCTGGCTGTGGAAGGCGGGGACTGGGAGGAAGGAGGGTTGGGTGGGGTTGGGTCATGGGTTGGGTTGGTTTTAATGACGTGGCGGGTCGGGTTTTATTTTTGTTGGGTTATATCCGGCTGATTAGGCAATTCTGTTTGCCACATCAGCACTTAACGGACTTCATTAACGGAGTTGGACGGAGACTAACGGCGAGTGACTAAATGTGTCCAGTTTTAGTAATTGTAGTGACCAAATTTGATATTAACTTTTTCTAGTGACTAAACATGTCCCAATTTTGTAATCTCAGTGACCAAATGTGTCTTTAACCCGATAAAGTTTATTCCCAATAATTTATCTCTTTGCTGCATTAATATTGTTTTCAATCCACATGTTCATGTTCAAGTTTGATTACATCCATGCCTTCTTCCCCAACCTCAAATCAAGCTCAGAACCTTGACCACGGCTTCCCGAGGCCTGCAAATCGCCTCTAACAGCAAAGCCTTGGGGATGATTAAGATAACGGTAACAAGAATGCCAGGAGTATGAAGAGTCGAGCCGCGCTTAGAGTGCATATGTTATCAAAGATTTATTATTCTTCATTTTTCCATAGAATATTTATTGAAATTACCATTTAGAGTTACCCATAAGAAAAAAACTGCAGTAAGGATAAATTTTTGGACTACATGCTTTTCCGTAATAATCCATATGGTCCATGTTGAGAGATCGATCATCATCATCAAGCTGCCAATGGCTTCCCAGCAAGAAATGCAGCAAATAAAGTGAGCGATCTCTTGGGCGAGGAGAGTGGGGCCATGTGAGAGGCTCCTCTAATGGTTTCATATGCAAGTTTGTTGTTCTCCCCGTAGACTTGTGTCCATCCACCAACCTGAAAAGCATCCAATTTAGAAAAGAAGAAGAGTAGATCAAACTTGTACTTAATTTGGTGCACCCAAGAAGTTAGTATAAATTGACCTGTTTTTCATCATCGAACCAGGGCTTGTAAGGCAGAGTAGTGTTCAATCCCAACTTTTTCGACAGACGATTCACCAGGTTCTTGTACCTATGAATGGGATTGCAGCATCTTGATCTCCGCTGTAAACCAGTACTCGAATGCCCGATCCCACCAACGATCCCACCACACCAATTGTCGGATTCTCCAAGTTGCCCTCGTCGTACTTTACGCGACTGCAGTTTCATAAATTGGACATTAGAGAGCAAAGCCAAGTGTAACAATTAGCACACATCACTCCATTTGATTCGTTAGCAATGTATGTTCTTACTGGGTACAAGCTGGGCATGCATACCTTGTTGAACATCTTTCCTGTTCAAGTACTGTGTGTGAGCAAGTGTGTGTTGCAGCTCTCAAACTAGTCAAATCATTTAGACTAAACGGTCATAAGAAGATGATTGCTATCGATCTTAGAAAACCTGGAAATGACACTTCAGTTTAGCGATTTATCCTTTGTTATAAACGCGCTGCTACGGATCGGGAAATTGCCGGAATCGATAAAGCAAGAATACGAGAGCGAGAATCGAAAGAACACAGACAAACGATTTACGTGGTTCACTAACACGATGTGTGTTAGCTAGTCCACGGGCGAGAGAGAGCCAGTTTCACTATATCGAGGAGATTACAGATTACAGAGGAGTATGAGAAGTATTTATAGTACTTCTCCATGTGGGTCTAGACCTAATCCAATCTAGCAAAGGAAACGGTTACAGACCAGGCCCAGAACCCGAACCCAAATAACAGCGAGACCCCCGGTTACCAGTCGTAGCGGCTGATAGTCCGATTCAAGTCATATCAACAAATCTCCACCTTGACTTGAATCCTCTTCCTCTGAAATCTCTGATGTACTCTGCTCCTTCTCTCTCTCCCGCCATCAATGCCCCGCAGGGCGGAGTCACCCACTCAAGACATTCAGCAAGTCCAAGCAGTGTTGGAACTTGCCATGTGGAACCGGCTTCGTGAACATATCAGCAGGATTATCTGCGGTGCCAACCTTCTTCACCTTAATCCTCTTCTCTGTCCTCAAGAAATGATACCTCACGTCGATGTGCTTAGTCCTCTCATGGTGGACTTGATCCTTGGCCAAGCATATTGCACTCAAACTGTCGCAATACACCACTGCCTGATCATGATGTAGACCCAGATCACCAACCAGTCCCTTCAACCATATTCCCTCCTTAGCAGCTTCTGTCAACGCCATATACTCTGCCTCAGTAGTAGACAATGTCACCGCCGACTGCAAAGTTTCCTTCTAGCTCACTACAAAACTCCCAAGAGTGAATACATAACCAGTCATCGATCTCCTCGTGTCAACATCTCCAGCATAGTCCGAGTCAGAATACCCAGACACCAAGCACTCTGTATCACTTCCGAAGCTAATCCCCACATCAGGTGTACCCTTAAGGTACCGAAAGATCCTCTTCACAGCCTGCCAATGCTCCTTCCCAGGTTGTATCATAAACCTGCTGACAACACTAACAACATGTGCAAGATCAGGTCTAGTGCATACCATAGCGTACATCAAGCTACCTACTGCACTAGCATATGGGACTCTCGACATGTACTCCTTCTCAGCCTCTGACTGCGGTGCATAGGCTGAGGATAGATGAACATTTGAAGCACTAGGAGTATTTAAGGGCTTTGCTGAAGACATGCCAAACCTCGACAGTATCTTCTGGATGTAGCTCTTCTGTGACAAGAAAAGCTTCTTCTTCGACCTGTCCCTGTAAATCTCCATACCCAAAATCTTCTGAGCAGCTCCCAAATCCTTCGTCTCAAACTCAGCACTGAGAAGCCCCTTTAACTTCTAGACATCAGACTTTGACCTCGCAGCTATGAGCATATCATCCACATACAGAACTAGATATATCATCGAACCATCCTCTGCCTTGCTATGATATACACAACAATCATATGGACTTCTGTTGTAGCCCAGCTCAAGCATGTAACTGTCAAATCTCTTGTACCACTGCCTCGGAGATTGCTTAAGTCCATACAAGGACTTCTTCAGCTTACAAACATAGTCTTCTTTTCCAGGAACCTCGAATCCTTCTGGCTGAGTCATGTAAATTTCTTCCTCCAACTCTCCATGTAGGAAAGCTGTCTTCACGTCTAGCTGCTCGAGCTCCAAGTCATAATGTGCCACTATTGCTAGTAGCACTCTGATCGAAGTATGTCTGACCACTGGTGAGAAAATCTCATGGTAATCAACTCCTTCCCTTTGCGAGAAGCCTCGTGCAACCACCCGAGCTTTAAATTTCATGCCCTCTTTGGAAGTGATTCCTTCCTTCTTCTTGTAGATCCACTTGTTTGTAACAATCTTCCTTCCCTGTGGTCGTTTGACTAGCTCCCAAGTCTGATTCCTGTCATTGGATTCCATCTCATCTCCCATTGCGGCAAGCCACTGATCGGCTTCACCACCCGAAACTGCTTCTCTATAGGACTGTGGCTCTCCTGCATCCACTTCTTCAGCAACCTGAAATGAATACGCCACCATGTCCTCGAAGCCATACCTCTGTGGAGGTACTCCTGCAGTCGCTCTCTTCGGTCTACCGGAAGCAATAGACTATTGAGCTCGTGCTCTGGACTCTGAAATTTCTGGCTCTGCAGAGACATCCACATCATGTTGATCTTCTCCACCTTGGTGCTCAAACTCACTCTCATTGAGAGTTTGCAGCTCCACCTGTTTATCAACATTCCTGCTACCTTCAACAACAGTAACCTTCAACATGGGGTTAAACATAGACTTCTCATCAAATATCACATTTCTACTAAGTATAACTCGATGCTCAGAAGGTGACCAGACTCGAAATCCCTTAACTCCATCTCCGTAACCCACAAATACACCCTTCTTTGCCCTTGGGTTCAGTTTACCCTCATCCACATGATAATAAACAGGACACCCAAACACTTTCAGTGAAGAGTAATCAGCAGGCTTAGCATACCACACTTCATAAGGAGTCTTACACTCGATACCTGTGTGAGGTCCACGGTTGATCAGGAAGCACGCCATGTTCACTGCTTCTGCCCAGAATCTTCTCTCTAGTCCAGCATTAGAGAGCATGCACCGTGCTCTCTCCAACAATGTCTGGTTCATCCTTTCTGCAACGCCATTCTGCTGGGGTGTATCTCTAACAGTCCGATGACGGGCAATCCCTTCATCCTTGCAGAATTCGTTGAACTCAGAACTGCAGAACTCCAGACCATTGTCCGTTCGCAGCTTCTTGATCTTCTTCCCGGTCTGATTCTCCACCAATGTCTTCCACTGCTTGAACTTCGTGAAAGCCTCACTTTTCTGCTTCATCATGAAAATCCAAGTAAATCTCGAATAATCATCAATAATAGACAGAAAATACCTGCTGCCTCCAATGGATTCAACTCGTGAAGCACCCCAACAGTCGAAGTGGAGGTAATCCAGTATCCCCTTCGTCCGGTGGATACCCTTCTTGGGAAACTTGCTGCGATGTAGCTTCCCAAACACACAATGCTCACAGAATTCCAAATTCTGCACCTTGTGCCCGCAAAGAAGATCCCTCTTCGATAGAACTTGCATCCCCCGTTCACTCATATGCCCCAGTCTCATGTGCCAGAGAGTGGTCATATCTTCCTGTTGAACCTGAGACGATGCAACTGCAGCAGAACAAGACAACACAGACCCTTGTAATGCATACAAGGTCCCACGCTTCACGCCCTTCAGCACCTTCCTTGAACCTTTGCAGACATACACAACTCCACCTTTTCCTTTGAAGCTGAAACCCTTGTCGTCGAGTAGACTCAAGGAGATCAGGTTCTTTGTCATTCGTGGAACATGTCTGACATCATTCACGGTACAGAACGAACCATCATGTGTCCGAACCTTTATGGACCCGATTCCAACAACCTGGCAGACAGCTCCATTAGCCATGACCAAGTTACCACCATCTATCTGCTCGTAGGTTGTGAAGCAATCTCTTTTCGGAGACATATGGTATGAGGCTGCAGTATCCAGAAACCATACATCACCACGATGTGCCTTCTCATCTACAGCCAAGGCGAGATCGTCTTCAGAACTGTTGTCCACTTCTGCCACGGCAACTGAACCCTGTTTCTTCTGTTGCCCTCTTCTCTTGGGACAGTTGTACTTCCAATGCCCCACTTCCTTACAGTTGTGACAAGCATCACCTGGCTGTGGACCGGGACCCTTGGAATTCTTGTTCGAATTCCCTTTTCCAGATTTCTTCTTTCCCTTTCCACCTGTAACAGCCAAACCCGATGCCTCACCACCTGTACCAGATCCGGACGCCTTATGCCTGATCTCTCTCGTATGAAGAGCAGACCTGACATCCTCCAACGACACGCTTTCTTTACCAGCAATAAAAGAATCAACGAAATTCTCATATGAACTCGGCAAAGAAACCAGCAGGATTAGGGCAGCATCCTCGTCATCAACTTGAACATCTATATTACGCAGATCCAGCAAAATAGAGTTAAGCTGTTCGAGATGTTCCCTCAAAGGCGTACCTTCTTGCATCCTCAAGCTGAACAACCGTTGCTTGAGATGCAGCGTGTTGGTTAGAGACTTAGTCATGTACAAACTCTCTAGTTTCAACCACAAGCCCGCGGCAGTCTTCTCAGCAGCGACTTCAATGATGACGTCATCAGACAACGATAGCATGATGGTCGAGTGGGCCTTCTCCTCCAGGGTATTCCACTCATCGTCATCGACCGCTGCCTTCTTCTGTTTCGCAGACAGCGGCCCCCACAGCCCTTGCTGTTTCAATAAAGCCTGCATCTTGATCTGCCATATAGCGAAGCTGTTCTTCCCCGTGAACTTTTCGATCTTCATGTTCACCGACGTCATTCTTCTGAATCGAAAAACCCTAGCCTGATTTCCAGCCGGGGCTCTGATACCACTTGTTATAAACGCGCTGCTACGGATCGGGAAATTGCCGGAATCGATAAAGCAAGAATACGAGAGCGAGAATCGAAAGACCCCCGGTTACCAGTCGTAGCGGCTGATAGTCCGTTTCAAGTCATATCAACATCCTTAAACTGTGTTGGAAGAAAAGGAAAGTCAGGATTGAGCTGTTCAAATCAAAAAGACAAACAAGGAATGAAGGAGCAATCAAGATCGTGACTATCGCCGGAATTGTCGTAATGAAAACCAACGACTACCTTGCTGCCTCTATTTAAACTCCTTAGATATGTATGAGAGTGGGCATCTTTGTGGGAGCGGTAGAGGGCTCAAGGCAAAGAGGGTTAATCAAGTTAGAGGAATAGGTTATATTTGATTAACGGTGTAACGTGTCTGGATTGTGGATTCGGGTT